ACATGTTATGGCCACAGAGTGTTTAGTTGTTCTCAATAAAGCTAAAGCTGTTGTTCCGAATCAGAAAGAAGATGCAATGTTTGATGTCCCTGAAGATGGTTACGTTGAAGGTGTGGTATGGAGGAACATGGCAACCACCTTAAACATCCTTTTGACACAAAATTGATGCTATGGAGAAAAAAGAACAATTGCATCCAGATAAAATTATTTTGGAAGTGTTGTATATATATGATATTTTTACTGTCTAATGTCAATACAATACTTAATCTGCTGGTGTGGTATATGCTTTGTCACTAGGCATTAACAGACTGATCTACAACATCGTACTGAAATTTGTCGGACAAAAAACATGGTGTATATAGCAATGCTCTTACTTTAATATCATTTTTCCACTTTGTAAATTACTTCAAAAAACATGATACTCTAGCACGCAAACAACACATATATTATTATACTTATGTCTAGCGTAATTAAATTTATTTATAAGTCGCTACATATGCTCTATTTATGATGCAAAATTTATATTAGCTTTTAATTAACACCAGATTCATACAGTATACATGCAGGCAAGCAATTTTGATGGCAATCTCGAGTCATGGATGCTAAGAAACAAAAAAGGAAAAGAGATAGAGAGCAGTATGCACAGATGACCAGTGAAGATAAATAGGAAAAACTGAAAAACCGTCGTAAAGCCTATCATTTCAAAAAAGAATTAAATATTGGCCCTAGTTGCAAAAAATACACACAAGGGACGAAGAAATATTCAAACATGAAGCCAACACAGAAGATAAAAGGATGCACACGGGAAAGGCAGAAATAGACAAATATGCAACCAGAATAAAAAAAAGAAAGCTAGAATAGAACAAATTACAGCTAACCGTGAATTGAGACGCAACACACTAAACAAAAATTCAAGTGTGATGGAGAATCTGCATATGAACCACAGAACAGAATAGTACATGAATGAGGACTTCACGATTAGCATGCACATACACAACATGCTTGGACGTTAAGCGAAGTATACGCCATTTTTACTATATGATATCAGTAACTCAACATAATTGTCGTGTGTATGATTTTTTTATTATCAGTATGATGCTTCATTTACTTGTGAGAAAACGTCATATTGAAGTCAGATGAAAGACATCATGTGTTCTTTTACTTCAAAATCATTTGAATTAGTAACTGAACTCTTGAAGAATGTGCTTTAAAGTCAAGAAAAATGCACCCCGTAGCAACGCACGGGTATGTTTCCTAGTGATTACCAAAAATACTTGCTACTACGTAAAGGTACACTTGACTACTCATGTACGTGTGTGATAAGCACCGGATAGCACTTGCTGAATATCAATTATGTAATACAGTGAGAGTATCCATCTTCGTCGTAAACATACTGGCCATGAGAACATTTTAAGCACTGAGGGAATATATATGTTATAATGACACAAAGATAGACCAATATATGGAATACACCCTTGCATACCTCTTTTCCTTCGGCTACAAAGGATACCCTCGGATCTGTCATCGTTATTGGACTGAGCGAGGAAACAGTTAAGCATACAGGAATTATCTAATTAATGGAGCGACATGTAGGATCACATACTAATAAACTTGGTCAGTGTCATCTACACTCGGTCATTCAGTCTCCCCCTCATTAGATTTTCTAAAAGAGAACCTCCTCTCTGAATTCTATTAACAGAAACCAAAAGTTCATCTACAGCATGAAGAAAACTAAAAAGGGAAGAAGAAAACAGAAATAGGAACATTCAGGTAACCACAGAGGGCACCCAAAACCCATAGATATCTAGGATCCGGGGTTTGCCCTTTCAGCAGCTGCGCAATAGAAACAAAATATTTCATCGCTAGATGAGAGTGAACATACTCGCAAAAGCAGTCACCAACAAGCAGGAACAGTCCACAAATGGCAAGAGTGGCTTTAAAGTTTGATTCCTCTGTTCACTTTAATTGCTTTTAAGCTGCCAGTCAAACGACTCTAGGTCGCCATCTTTGAGATGCTCGAAAGACATGATTTGTCACTTGCTCGAAGAGCTTTACTCCCCAAATCAGCACTAATCTGCAAAATTGACCATCAGTTTAACCAAATAACAAACCACATGAATCAGAACAAAAGTATCAGACACCGCATTTATTCTCAAAACAGGCCTCATTCATAAACCTCCAAATCGTCAATACAGCAGCCAACCCCACTGCAATACAAAAAATTGTCTTGATTTTTTCAATCTAAGCCCTCAGAACCTAAAGAAGTCATGATCACTATAAGGTACAGTTTTTCAGATTAAAAGTGAATTGCAAAATGGTTGAGATCAACTAAGTAGCCCATCTCCGCCATGTAACTAACATGCTTTATTGTTGTTCCACAGTTGAAAAGTATCTCCCCAAAGAGTCCATGTAAATCGCACTGATTCCCATATGATTTTAGGTTTAATGTAGCTGATTTGAACATTAACAAAACAATCACTGAAATAAGACTGACATATTGAATAGAAATATAGTTTGTGAACAATATGCTCGGGACAGATTCGGTAAGAGAAGAACAATCAAATAATATGACTTGTACCATTCACACTTAAAACTGACTAACAGAAAGGAAACCAGGAATAATTTTCCAACAATGTAATCATCAGGGATTCAACATCAAACACAGCTAACCCTACAGTTTGCGCTCAGTATGATCAATACGAATTCGACATGACAACCACAATTGAACATGACGACTTGCAGGATTCACACATAAACTGCATAACGGATAGGAAACCATCTTAATAAACTGATATAAACTTAACAGATGAGATTGGAAGATGGAGAAGAAAGGGTCAGGGGAGAGGTTCAATTGGGTTGGTGCCTTTTTGAGATCAATATGCTCCTATACCTGGGTGGGGATGTCATGGCCTCAGCGGAGATCCGTGTAGGATTACGGGGCGCAGACGCGGGGCGCCTCGGTGGGGATGTCATGATGATCAATTGTATTTTACATATGAAAGGGGATTTATTCGGCCAAGAAATAAATAACTAAAAACTTCAGTAAAACGAAGGATAGGTTATGATGCATGGTACTGATTAAACCACATATATCAATGTACATACTTTTTTGTAGGCGCAAAAAGTAGGAGGTAATAAGCTACGTACCAGGTTGAAGCTCCCTACACATCCAAGGAATAAGGCCATCACAATCATCTATATTCAGCAAGTGCACACCGGCATCAGAGTTCTTGCCTGATCGTGACATGCCGCCATTCTCCAGTTACATATGATGTAATATGTATTCCGTCCCAACATAAGTGGGATGGAGGGAGTACTTGTTTACGAAGAACAATTTTCTTCTGTAATTACAATGCACGCACATCTTAGATGAGGTTCAACTGAATCTCAGTTCTATAAATTATGTAAAGATGCGAATTGGTGGCACCTTATTCTTCTTTTTCTTTTCTCTCGACGGGTTCCATCTATTCATCTGGACCATGCACCATCTCCCATAATTATGCCTTCAATCAATAAGCATGTGCATGCACAACCCTTTTGTCCCACTAATAGTTGTAGCAGCCCATGAGCCGTACCTGATCACCTTGAACCTAGTATGAAAAAGGAAAACATGTGAAGAATTTCTTCGTAATATACATGAGAAGATATATAAACTTCTTCCTATTCCTTGACTGAATATTTAGCACTGTATTTTTTTGTTTGACATTCGGATCTTCACTTCTATTCATTATAATCTGAATGGTGCTCATAGTCTATTATGTTCATAGTCTATTATGCTCATATGGTAGTCCGATTGAATTCCACCATTCCAATTAGTCTCCAGAAGCATCTTAAGCCACAACTACTTATTAGTCAGGCCTTGCAAGATATTATGTACTATATTTGTAAACTAATATAAGATTTTTTAGATCACAATTAGTTTACAGAGGGAGTACAACTCTAGCATATTTGCACATGATGATCTCATAAGAGGAGGAAGAACACATGCCTGCAAGGACAGATGAGACGTCCAGGGGATCTCGTGCTTGAGAGATCCTAGACAAATCTGCGATGTTCCCCTGAGGGAGAGAGTCGCGGATAGTGGACTCCTCTTCCCCATGAACCCCACTATCATCCTTTCTCCTCCCTCTTCCAGGAAATCCACCTCAAATTCCATGGATTCCTAACGGGGGTCGCTCGAATTGACGGCTGGTTGCTCGGATTGGGTGCCGCGAGCTTGAAGATTGCAGGAGGTTGAAGACCGAGGAGGCTCAGAGTGGCGCCGAAGAAGACGGGGGCAGGTGCAGAGGGCAAGGAGATAGGGCGATAGACGACCGCGGAAGATGACCGGCCGCGCGTGCGGTGGCGATGGCGGCGGCAGTGCCGTACGTGTTTAGGCATCGAGGAGGAGAGGCCGTGCTAGTGGGTTTCTTTTTATAGAAAGATCTGCTCCCCCGTGCGTCAGCCCAACCCACGAACGAAACGTTTTTTCACCGTTGACATCGGATAGAAAAACGATGGCAACATTAGTACCAGCTCGCGTATATGTATTAAATTCAAACTGAAAGCGTAAATTCATAGGAAGAAAGCGTATTGTGACGGTGAACAAGAGCCCGTGCGTTGCAACGGGTTAAAGAAACCACCAAAATTTGATGGGCCAAAAAAATGCATTAGCAATTGTAGGAAGTAAAACACATTTATAGAAGGACCAACATCCCAAATAATAGATCTTCAATCAAATTTCCAATAGTCAAATCATCCTCCGACAACACTGATATGGAAAGCTTAATTAGATATTTTAATGGCAGATTAATTAGAGAAATATTCAACAGAACTCACAACAAAAACCCAAAATGTCAATATCCACCACTGTGTTGCATAGCTATTGTTCTTTTGGGATCATCATTGCATACTTTTAGAGCACCGTAATGCTGGCTATCACCATATTTTTTGATGATTCAGTTTATAATGCATGTTCAGAAATGCAAGCTCACCTTCTCCATGCATGGCCTCAACCGAGACTACGAGTCTACGATTGAGGAACAAAAATAAAAGAAGACCCGATCATCAGTTGAATAAAGTAAATACATGTGAACAATATAAAATTGACCAGAGGTATATTCGGCTATCTTACCATGAATAAAGAAGACCCAATATGAATTGCTACATATTTTATGGGATTGGAGAAAACAACGGGGTACACATATGTAGGCACCACAACTGCTCCTGATATGTACCACGTCCTCCTTTACCTCTCTGCCCCATCCAAGCGCATCCCATCTAAAGCACCCTGCCGGCTTCACCCTCGGCCTGCACCTCTCCGCTGCCTGGCTTTCGTAGCCGGCCACGGCGCACTGCACGAGCAGGCCGTCCTGGTCAACACAGCAGCGCGGCCGTGGGTTTGATAGCGCCTCCCAGGGCCTGAAGCCAAGTGCACCTGACCATGCAAACGTTGCACTGGCACCTCCTCGAACCAGCACCACCGCCCCGACATCACCCATCTACTCACTCCTAATCCTACTTTGCTAGGTGCAGCTAGCATATCTATTCATCTGTATGTAATTAAGCTAATTGATAACTGAAGAAAGAGCAGAATATATGAAACTACAAGAATTACTCCAGCATCATGTCCAAAAATTACTGTAACCAAGTTCAAGCCACCATGTTCAGGTGTATGTAGTCAGCAACATGAGATTTCCTGGTTCAATCCTTTTCTAGTAACAACAAATTTTTAGAAAAAAATAGACTGAAACATGGGCTTGTATCGCTGATTACCTGAAACATAATGCAAAATACATAAAAACATACAAAGTAGTTGGTTTAAAGACTCTAGTGCATATCAGCCAAGCTGAAATTATGAGCAATTAGAAAAAATAAAATGAAACAGGGGTAGATCCGAGGGGGGCAAATCAGTTGCATTCATTATACAGCAGTGCAAACAAAGGAAAATCAGATGAATTCACCGATCATACAGTGGTCTACCAACTACAGTAACATCAAAAACAACTACTTGAGGAACATAGGCACCACAAGTTCACAACCAAAGCAGCAGGGCTGTTTTTGAGGGGGGCGAGGCATTACATACCTTTGCTGTAGCCGCGATATTAGACGGCTCGACGGATGTTCTTCTACCTCCGGCGAAGTCAAAGGCGACATGATGCTTTTCTCGTCCAAGTATTCCGAGATTTGATGGATTTTCCGGTCCAAGTACGCAACCTGATGGAGATTCCGGTCGAGGACCCTTCCTTCTTATAGGAGGGAAGTCCAATCCGGGTCAGGCAATCCATTGATTTGTGTTGGAGAAGGACAGTAGGACACGGTCACGAATTCAATCCAAATCAGACACGGAGCAGGATATCGGAGATTAAGAAGCTTACGTCGATGGAGGCCTGATTGGTTAGATCGTAGAGGACTGGCAGTGGAGACTCGATGTTACACAATGAAGCGAGCAAAATCGACGCCAACCACCAATCTGTATCATCCCATTCCCAGGTTGATGAAATCTATGCTGGAGATTTTGTAAGGATCAGCATTCAAACACAGAGCGGATCGAATAGGGCGAACGAAAGCGAGCAAGCGAGTAGAGAAACAGACTCACTTTTGCACGATGGCAACGCGGCCCTCTCGATGACGGCCGGGCGCACGGCGGCAGCCTCCTCGGGGGCCGTGAGGCGGGAGGTCCATCCCTTGAGAACCTGGGGGCCCCACGTCTCACCGACGGCGGTGAGCTGCATGACGCAGGTCCAGAGCAACATGGTCATGGCGGCGCGCACCATCCAGAGCTTCATCCGCGACCGTGCTGCGGACGACGACGGCGCTGGTGCACGGCATACTCACCATGCCTCCTCCACGAATGCTCTCCCTCCACCAGCAGTTCGAGCGCTCGCGCAGGGCGCGGTAGCCGCCGGCGACCGCGCAGACGGACGACGACGCGTAGGTGGTGTGGAGGAATAAGTCGGAGAGCGCCACGCCGCCCTTCACCTTCTTGTCCTTCGCCGCCGCTCTGGAAAGGAAGCGGATAAGACACACTAAGGGGAAGGAGCACTGCGGGTTGAATATTCCAAATGACAGGGGTTTTATGCAAAAACGAATAATTATTTTCAGCAGATTTTTGGGCCACTGCCCAGCGGATGGACGGACGGGCTGAGGGCCAAGTGGCAACGCTTCAGCCATGTGAGACGATCTTAGGGCAAGGCACAGGTAGTAGTGCGGACGACAGATCATGTACCTACGAAAATTTAGCGACATGGTTCCCGAATTAGTACCACCTCGCATATATGTTTTCAATTTAAACTGAAAGCGTAAATTCACAGGAAAAAAGTGTATTGTGACGGTGAACCCATGGAGTCAATCCGTGCTTTATTATTAGGGATAGACTAGTAAATATGCCCTTGCTTGCTACGGGTTGTTGTCCAAACCATGAACTATAGCACGTGCATTGCAACAGTTTTACAAAATTAGTTATAGTTAGTTTACTTGTTATTTCATCAGATACATATTGCAAAAATAAAAATAACAGCTTATCAATAATCCAGAGAAATATATGCCACTTCCATTGATTATATAGGAACTGGTCAAAATTTATTATTAGATTTGGATCGAGATAAACTACTTTAGTTTCCCGAAAAGCAAAAAACTCCCTTCAAAGTGTAGAATTAACTCTACATAAGATGCTCAATGGAAGCAAACATTTGTTATTTGTATAAGTCTATGCAAAACAAACTCACTGAAGTTACTCACCAAGATGCCCGATGCAATTCCAAAGCAGAAAACGGAATACAAACTCGTAAAACTCACAACAATATCTGTATGCAAAGCCTCACAAGAGGTTTCTGCAATCTCACAAGATGCTGGGTTTAGTCTAGACGATCTTCTTCACAAGCATATTTTGTAAGCAACTACTACCTTTGATCCTCATGATGCAATGATTGCACACCAGGTTTGTAGCTCTATTGGAATGTGTTGGTCTCGTTTATACCTTCGCATGATTGCGACTTTGGTTTACTTGTGCATGTATTCAGCGATGTACTGAATGTAAATAAGGCTATTTAGTGCCAGTCTGCCATTGCTTCTCAAGGCTTTAGTAAACAGACATATAATACCTCTTATTTATTTTATCTAAAGGTTCTTGTCAGATTCACAATGTGAAAAATTGACAAAAAACTGACATTAAAATTTCTAAAAGTGGACAACTAAAGGAAATGTACAAACAAAATTTAATTTGTGTCAAGTAGGTCAAACCAGAACTATAAAATGTCATTTCTGAAATGTTTGCCAAGTATGTTATCAACATAAGAAAGGAGCCTTGCACTGTGTTTTGACTGAAAGGTGCACATTGGTGACCTTAATGTAAATAACATGTCTTAAAATAGTTCATGCAAGGGCTATAAAAACATATGAAGAACATAACCCTTCCAAGGTCAAATGGAATTTTGAACCATTATCATAACCATGAAGATTCGAATCCCCAAAAATAGGGCAGTATTAAGATGTAGATTTCTAGAGTCGTTACACTGTTGTTTGTATCCCTATGGAAAACAAAATTTGAGTACAATTAAATCCTATTAACCTACTACAATAATTCAAAATAATCAACTAAATTGCATTTACTGAACATGAGAACTTATTCTTGGAAGATGTCAGAAAGGAGATCAAACACCATCAACAATAGGCTGTTTAGAAAATAAATGTCATGTCAACTGGCATAGAAAATCTTTAAATCATGTTTGACATGAAAATTTGGCTATTACAAATGGCAACTAAATTACACCTGAGAAAGAAAACATCAAGAAGCTAGAGAGAACGGACATGAAAGAACCACCTGAACATACAATTGCACCAACAGGATAGAAATCCATCTCCATCGATCAAACTTGTTTTCACCCTGTCGTACGTAGTGGAGTACACATACGGCATATCTGATGCCATCGGTTCATCAATTGATTCAAAAGAAAAGTTCCGACCAAGCATGCATGAGCACATCCCAGGAGCTCCTAGCATTGACTTCCAACACCTATAACAGATTTTAATACCATGGAGCAGTATTTTCCATATGAGATCATCCTCACCTACTGGTCCAGTCACATGAATTTTTACAAGCCAATGCAACTTTTAACTCTCGGACTGAAACCACAAAGCTATAGGCCTGAAGAACAAAAGGCAAAAATCCTCAAATTAACTGACCGGCCACTTGTACTAGAATAACATATCTCTCCGTAGCGCATTATAGCATCATGTTAAACCAACCGGTGGCTAACATACCAGCTTTGACCAATCAAAAATAGATCCCATAGGAATCCCCAAAGAGCAACACTACAGCAGCAGATTACAACCTGATCAGAGATGCCAGCCCAAGGGCAAGGAGAGGAGGGCATACCTCGGTGGTGGTCGTCGAATCCTCATCTACTGGCCTACCTGTAGCTCGTCCAGAGAATATCGTAGATGTTGCTGCAAGAGCCCGACCCTCCGCACCGATGACCAGCAGTCCACCTGCAAGAGGGCGCAGGTGGAGGCTATGATGGCCCTCGTTGACGATGTCGCCTACCTCGCCGGCACCTAGCTCGCCACTGCCAAGGCCCACTGCAACATCAAACAACCAACAACGCTAAATTTTCCAATTGAAAGAAGCAAAGATTATTTAACAACAATAATTTTTTATCTCAAATTCAACATCCTTCAGAGCACCAGGGTCTCTATCTCTCTGTCAATCTAAAGTTTCAAACGGTCCAATGCCAAAGCCACATAAAGTCACCACAAGCTTATCTTCTAATGTTTCGATTCGAAAGAAATCCCAAGAATTTCAGGTATCATTGACCTGAGCATGGAAGACAAAGCTTGTAAATGTCATGGTGATTTCACTCCTAATCGATGGCAGAATTCGTTTGAGAAATATATGCACAACAGAGGTACCGGAAAAATGATATAAACTGACCACGTCTAGGATTCTGATCTACAAAAATAGAAGACTTAATGTTTCTGGCTTGCTTTGAACTGATGCACCAAATGAAAACATTTGATGTGCCCTCCTATATAATAATTAGAAAACATAATTCTTTTACGAAGAAGAATAAATATTGTGTGTTGGACCATTCGGGTCGTTGGCATCAATTGTCAGTATTTTTTTACACTTCCGCTTCGTAGACCCCCTCTAACACAAGGAGGGCCGAGATTGCTCGATACCCCTTCGTAACGAGGGGCATGATGGGCATATTTTTTAGAAGTGCCCACCCGCCCGCCCGCCCGGTCGCGGCGTATACATATACAATTACAGCGGGTTATTTTTTCCGGGATTGACATAGCGTCAATTACGCCGCGGGCGAGCATGCATGGCGCTGTTATCGTGCCGCTTCCATTGCGCTGCGGGCGCGCATGCATGCACGGCGCTGTTATCGTGTCGCTTCCCCCGCTGAGGCGCTGCCGCGCTGCCCGCCTGCCCCGCTGCCGCGCTGCCGGCTGCCGCCTCGCATGCCTCGCCTCGTTTGCCGCGCCCGTCCAACGCCCC